GTTTTAAAAAGAGTTATAGAACTAAGTGATGAGCTCCGTATATTTCTCTGTGATATTAAACCAGATTTATCTGCACTGTTAAGTGATGAAAAATGGATGTGTTTAGCTTCATATTTAGCAGATTTTTTCGATAAAGTTAATGAATTAAATCTATCTCTTCAAGGTAAAAGTACAAACATTTTAATACTTACCTCAAAAATTCAAGCATTTAATCAAAAATTATCTTCTTGGTTAAATGCATTTAACAATGGAGATTCCTCAATGTTTCCGAGTTTACATGATTTTCTTACTGCTAATGAACTTTCAATAGCAATTTCAGTTTCAAGTGTAATAACTGACCATATGTCTTCAATGCTAACATTTTTATCTAAATATTTTCCAAATTTAAATGAAGATAATGAACTAAATTGGGTAAAAATACCATTTTCTATTTCTTTAAAATACGATCATATTCCATGGGCCGCAAAAGAGCAACTAATTGAAATTAGAGAAGACTCAACTCTTGAAACAGAATTTAATGAAAAAGAACTTACTGAATTTTGGTTAAGACGACAGCAAGAGTATCCATTAATTTCAAAAGCGGCATTACTTATATTAATGCCTTTCGCATCGACATATCTTTGTGAAACTGCATTTTCACAACTTCAAATTATAAAAAACAAACATAGATCATGCATTTCACAACAGTCGTTAGAAGCAAACTTGCGTATTTCAGTTTCAAATATCACACCGGACATAAATATGTTATGCGAAAATATGCAAGCTCACCCGTCACATTAATAATCATCAACATTACTACTGAATATTTTTGTATTGTTTTTTTTATTACCAATTAATTGAAGTTTATATAAGTTTAAAGTTTAATACTATTATAAATTGTTTCAAAAATATATTAAAAACATTTATTTACTATACATTTTAATAATCTATTTGTGTGAAATAGTCCATTTCGTTTTAGTATATAATTAAGAAAAAATAATTAATGATTTTGATTAAGGGGGCCTTGACAGTTTCACATTAAATTTAGGGGGGCCCCATGACAAAAAAGTTTGAGAAGCACTGCTGTAGATAACTCACTGACCATTTTTTTGACGGCGACGGCGTGAATATTTCCGGTAGACAGCGATAAGAAACTTTAAAAATAAATAAATTCGAAATTTATTTGGAACCAATGTCATTGTTTTCAATACTTTAAGATACTTTTGTTGGCTGAATAAAAATAAGTTTCACCGAATTAATATGCATGGCCATCATTATTGAAAAAAAAAATCCCATGAAAAATTTGCCGCCCCTTAGAATTTGCCGCTGTAGGCACGTGCCTATAGTGCCTGCATATAAATACGCCACTGGGTCCCAGTGTACCTATAACTACGCGGGATCTGCTAACAAGAAATGTTTATAGGCTTTGCTAACGGCGGACGGTAATGGTGAGGTAGGTTTTGTCGTTATTATTTGCTGTAGTATTATGAAATCATTACAACAATAGTTCGGCTCCGATTGTTGTCGTGATACAAAATAACTGCTGGTTTCTCCACTAAATTTGATTCTAGGTTTTATTCAAGACCAGTAATACGTAAACACTTGTGTCTAGGTAGATCAACCCTAGATTCATAATGCGTTGTTATCGCGAATTCCTGTAAAAGTTTATCGATGATCCTGTAGTTCCGGTTAGTACAGTTAATTGTTGTGTATAAGATATGTTACCCAAGTCATTTTTGTTTACGCATTATTTCTTATCGCTATTGTAGCCCATATTTTCTAAAATTCGACAACGATGCCAAACAAAGGAAATCAGGTAATCTATATTGCCTTAACATCCATAAAAATCTTCCACATCGAGATTTTTTGTGACTGTTACATTTTCATTGATAATATCGATAAAAACTATTTAAAGCTAATAGTGATTCTGTAAGATTAGTGACAAAACTAACAAACATTAACTAACCTGCATGAGTAACACAGAACGTTGCGTTAAAACAGATTCCTTCTCTATATTTGTAAAAACTTTTGTTTTGAAAAAGCTACTACACCAGCCATTTTAAAATGATTCAAAGAAGACTTTATTTTAACCGTAGGAGCCAAGCCGGAGCAAATTTTAATTGTTAACAGTTCACAGGTTACCTCATAAACCTGGACGAACGGTCTTGCTGAACTTAACAATTAATCTCACTTTATATACTTTATATTATATTATGTTACAATTGGACAAGTAATAAGATGTGAAATGATGAAAAGTATTTGTAAGGAATAGGACTTAATAGTTGTCGCGTATCCAGTATACGATTAGACGTGTAAAAAATACACCGATAAATAAATATTAATATATATATATAGTTCGCTTTAGCGGGCACTAAATAAGTAACACCAACACTTATGTCGCAGCACAATTGCAGGCTGGCAATATCCGCACTAGTTATTTTGACTGACGAAGTTCGTAAGGCCACAGTAACAGACGTCGAAAAACAAACGTTACAGAGACGAGCCAAAAGCTGAAGAAAAAGAAAACACAGAACAGACGAGGCAACCAGTTAAGGTCTACGTCGGAAACGCAAACAGAAAAACACACCAGATGAGGTGTACGTCGAAAACGGAACAGAACGCAATATCAGTAATCCATATTCGGCGGCGGCCTTATCTCAGTGTCAAGGGCGGGGAGACAACCGATGACAACCGATTGTCATATTAATAGCTGTACGGCTGATATCGAGAGAGACACGGGCGAGCACCAGCCTACCCAACCCAACCCAACCAGCAAAAGGCGGTGCCGTGTCATAGTATTAAACTCCTAACCAAATATAGGCGGCAAGAGGAAAGGGATTTTGTTTGTAGAGGAATATGCAAGAAATGATAGGAGAGGGAGGACTATTAACAAGTTAGCTAAAATTAAATAATTAGTTCAAAGTACCATGCAAGTAAAGATATAAAAATTGTCCAGTGTGACAGACTAACACCAGTGCATTGACTACCTTACCTTTAACAGTTGTTCAATTAATTACTTTATTAGACATTGACTGTGATAGTGGACTGTATAATATATTATAGAAGGAGAGAAAGTCGGGTTGATGTTCAGTAAAAAAAATGAATAAAAAATAACAAAGTCAATAAATTACTAAGAGCAAAGAAATACTAATTAATATAAACACATGCTGGATTATATTGTACAAATGCAATGAAAAATTAAATAAAATAACTA